TTGAGAGAGGATGGCCTTTACCCAAACTGGCCTCTTTACCCAAACTTGGCCTGTTACCAAACTGGCTCTTACCAAATTTTTGGGCCCTTTAACCCCCCGCAACTGAGGCCTTTACCCCAATCACTTTCCATGACCTTCTACCACAAACTGGCCTTTACCCCAAAACTGGCCCTTACCAAATGTTGGCCATCTAACACTGAACTGGCCCTTTTACCCAAACTTGCCCTTACCCAAAATTGGCCTTTACCCAAACTGGCGCTTTACCCAAGGCCACTTGCCTCTTTACCCAAACTGTCCCTTCACCCATCACTGAGCCTTGCAAAACTGCTTTCAAAAACCCCTTACTTCAAACTGGCCCATTAACCCAAACTGGCTATCCAACTTGCCATTTACCCAAAACTGGTCCTACCCAACTGCCTCTTACTCACTATGCCTAAACTTGCCTTACCCAACTGGCCTTTCACCAAACTTGTGCCTATTACCCAAATCTGGCCTTACCCAAAACTGGGCCTATCCAAATTGGCCCCTCCTCAAACTGGCCTTACCCAAAACGCCTACTTTACCCAAACTTGCTTTACCCAAATGCCTTATACCCCAACGGCCCTTACCAAACTGGCCCTTACCAAACTTGGCCATTACCCAAACTGCCTTTACCCCAAACTGGCTCTTACCAAAACTGGCCACTACCAAAACTTGCCTTTACCCAAACTTGGAGCCTATTACCCAAAACTGGCCTTTACCAAACTGGCCTTTCTAACTCCTTATCAACTGGCACCCTTTTACCAAAACCATGGCCTTTACCCAAAAAACTGCCTTTACCACCAAACTGGCCTCAACCTTACCCAAAACTTCCCTTACCCAAAACTGCCTTTACCCAAAACTGCGCACTTTAACCAAACTGGCCTTTACCAAACTGGCCTTTACCCAACTGGACTTTATTGGCCTTACCCAAACACTGGCCTTTAGTCCTCAAACTGGCCTTTACCCAAACTTGCCTTTACCCAAACTGGCCTTTACCCAAAACTGGCCTTTTAAAATGGCCTTACCAAACTGGCCTTTACCCAAACTGGGCCTTTACCCAAACTAGCCTATCACCCAAACTTGCCTTTACCCAAATTGGCCTTTACCCAAACTGGCCTTTAACCCAAAACTGGCCTTTAACCAAACTGGCCTTTAACCCAAACTGGCCTTTACCACAAATGGCTACCAAACTGCCTTTACCCAAACTGGCTATTCACCCAAACTTGCCTTTACCCAAAATTGACCTTTACCCAAACTTGCCTTTACCCAAAATGGAACCTCTTAACCAAACGGCCTTTACCCAAACTGGCCTTTACCCAAACCTTGCCTTTAACCAACTGGCCTTCCCAAAAACTGGCCTTAACCAAAACTGGCCTTCACCCAAACTGGCCTTTACCAAACTGGCTTACCCACTGCGTTACCCAAACTTGCCTTTACCCAATTACCTCCAAGGCCTTAACCAGCAAACTGGCCTTACCAAACTGGCCTAATGGTATCACCCAAACTTGCCTTTCCCAAATTGACCTTTACCCAAACTGGCCTTTAACCAAAGGCTTTTCAAACCTAAACTGGCCTTTACCCAAACTGGCTATTACCCAAACTTGCCTTTACCAAATACTTTAACCAAATGCCACAAATGGCCTTACCCAAACTGCGGCTCTACCCAAATTAGTTCCAAAACTGGCGCTTTACCAGCAACTTGCCGTCTTAAAACTGGCCATTCCCAAAACTGCCTATACCCAGAATTTGCCCTCACTCCAAACTGGCCTTTACCCAAACTGGCCCTTACCCAAACTGGCCTTTACTCAAACTGGCCCTTACCCAAACTGACCTTTACCCAAACTGGCCTTTACCCAAATTGGCCTCTACCCAAACTGGCCTTTACCCAAACTGGCCTTTACCCAAACTGGCCTTTACTCAAATTGGCCTTTACTCAAACTGGCCTTTATTCAAACTGGCCCTTACCAAACTGGCCTTTACCCAAACTGGCCTTTACCCAAACTGGCCCTTACCCAAACTGGCCTTTACTCAAATGGCCCTTACCCAAACTGGCCTTTACCCAAACTGGCCTTTACTCAAACTGGCTCTTACCCAAACTGGCCTTTACCCAAACTGGCCTTTACTCAAATTGGCCTTTACTCAAATTGGCCCTTACCCAAACTGGCCTTTACCCAAACTGGCCTTTACCCAAATTGGCCTTTACCCAAACTGGCTCTTACCCAAATTGGCCCTTACTCAAACTGGCCTTTACCCAAACTTGCCTTTACCCAAACTGGCCTTCCCCAAACTGGCCTTTACCCAAACTGGCCTTTACCCAAATTGGCCTTTACCCAAACTGGCTCTTACCCAAATTGGCCCTTACCCAAACTGGCCTTTACCCAAACCTGCCTTTACCCAAACTGGCCTTCCCAAAAACTGGCCTATACCAGAATTGGCCTTCACTCAAACTGGCCTTTAGCCAAACTGGCCCTTACCCAAACTTGCCTTTACCCAAACTGGCCTTTACCCAAACTGGCCTTTAACCAAACTGGTTTTCACCCAAACTTGCCTTCACCCAAATTGACCTTTACCCAAACTGGCCTTTAACCAAACTGGCCTTTACCCAAACTGGCCTTTACCCAAACTGGCTATTACCCAAACTTGCCTTTACTCAAACTGGTCATTACCCAAACTGGCCTTCACCCAAACTGGCCTACCCTTAGCAAAACTGGCCTACCCTTAGCAAAACTGGCCGCTCCCTAAACTGGCCGCTCCCTAAACTGACCGCTCCCTAAACTGGCCCTTAGCAAAGCTGATTTTTAGCCGAATTGGTTTTTGCTAAAACCGGTCTATCTATAGAATACAGCCTATAGAGAGGCAACTTTAAAAAGTTTTGTCTTTACAAAGAAAACGTTAGGCAGGCTGCAAAAACCGCAGTTAAATTGCAACGCGAATATGCAACGTTAACAGCATTATTAACAAAACAGAAAATGATCCCGACTCTTGGTCGTTCATCAGCTGCAGGTTCTTGCGTCAGCCCCAGAAAACCAGACGAATCAAAGGAATTTTTAGCCTTATAACATGAACTCTATATAAGACAGAAGCATGTTACAAGGCAAAGTATTTTATCAAAGTCGTGATTCCCGAGAAGCCTTTGAATGGAACGACTTCACAACAAAATAACTCACCGATATTCAATCCTGGCGACGAAGGTCTTGGAGGCGATGGTGAATGCGGTGCCAAGCTGCGAGGCCTTCTGGACGTTATTCCGCACGTGCTATGATCCATAGAAAGAGCAGATTATGGCTAATGTATGGACCTATATCAACACACAACCTCTCATTACATCAATTGTACAAAACACTCTGAAACATATCTCGTGAAAATTTGCACAGCAAGGCAAAGATCCTATCGTTCGGAAATATCTTATACGATTTGTAAACTATAGTTTGTAAAATATGCAGGGATTTACCCAATTCCGTTAAATATTTAATAAATGCATAAATATATTAATGAAATCACCAACTTTGATAAGACACGTGTAGTTGAAGAAAGAATGTCAGATTACTCTAATAAATGTTTTAGGGTAATATTTCCTAAAAAGATAATGTTGAGGGTGAAAATTTCAACAGCTTCAAAACCGGACAAGCCAAGTTTACTTGACTTGGCGAAGAAGAAGCAGACAACTTAGAGAAGAGGAGAAAGGATTTTCTGTTAAAATTAAAAAAGTTTTAAAAGATGTTCACCTGAACTTTCTAGCGACATCACCCTGTAAAAAGTAAAACATCAAATTAATGTTCTAACAAGGATTATAAATGTAAAAGGACATCAATAATAGTTAGCAAACAAAGCTGATAGAAGTAAATGTCATTGTTATATTGGAAATGGCGGAAAGTTTTAAACATCCGTCTAATTAAGTAGGGGGGGGGGGTTATTCATGGGATAACGTCACAACTAGGTGCTTGCGAGATGCACGGCAGGTGTCAACTGATATAAAAGCAAGAAGGACAAACTTGCCCTGATATGGTAGACTTTTTTATTCCAAACTACCTACGGCTTCATTTGTACTGTTTTGCATTCCCTTAATGGTGGTACGAGCACTACCGCATTCGGCGCTGAATACAACGACGTTTCACGTCAACCTGGGACGTGAGAGAGTCGGTCCCCTTTCAGAGCAAAGCAATATTCGAGCACATTCACGTTTGAAAATTAGCGTATATGTTCAAGGAAAGCTGTGGCACTGTACTGGCAATTTTGATTTGATTTTGATTTGATTTATTTATTTATTATTCAATGTCAACAATATGAGTAAAAAGTTCTTGGAAATGTGTAGAGTCCTCAAAAGTACTGCAAATATCCAAAGGTATCCAGGGTGTCAAAACAAATAGCGCCAAGGAATACAGGGGGTAAGCAGCTCAACCTTACCACTGTTTGGTTACTACGTCGAAAAATCACTAGTTGGTCGGCATAACAACTGGAAAATAGGTATAACAGGGAAAATGTGGGCTATATAAATGTCTTCGGGGGGAGGGGGTATATTTTACTTTTAGCACATACCCAAACCCCTTTTTTTCAATTCATGGTCAAGGTATATCAAGAGTGAACTCAAAGTCTGCTTAAATGTTTTGTATTCGGGTGTCAGACTTGGAAAAGAGCAAATTGAAATGCACAATACTAGAAGTCATTCTTTATACGTCTAGCTCAGTTTTTTAAATGAATAAGGAACATAGGTCCATTTGGAAATATAATTCATCTTAATGAGAAAGGTGAATTCATTTGACCAACTTTACTCAAAGGATGTCTCCCATGAAAACTGGCAGCTCTTTCTCACACAATGAGCCTTTAAACTAGAGCAGATGATAAAGATCTGATTGAGCGTGGAGAATGGCAATTCTTACAAGCTTTAGAGGCGTTTAAGCTCAACAAAGATGAACGACAGAGGCCCAGGTGGGTGCTCACTACTTTTCTATACGGGGGGGGTCTATGTCAGCAATTTTTTGTTGACCCCCAAATATTGAGTTAAAATTTTGAAGAACCCCAAATATTGAGTCTCAAAATTTTGAGACCCTGAACAATGCTACATATTTTGGACTACCATTTTTGTAAAATTTTCTTGATTATCACAAGATTTTCAATCTCATTTCAATACCCTTAACAATAAATAACCAAGAGAGAAGATTTAAATTAAAGGATTCCTTTTGTTTAAGGATTCTCCCTAAAATTTGGTTTCCTTTCACAACTTCCTTTTCACTTCTCAGACCCCAAATAATGAATTTCTCTTAACCTGTAATTCACAGACCCCAAATATATTTTTTTCTAAAATCTCAAACCTCAAATGTTGACATGACAGGGAGTATAGAAAAGTTGGAAGTATATATTCAGCCAGTAACTGAAAGCTTGCAGGGATCCTGATCAACAAAGACCTATTAGGTCTTGAGTCAGACAGGGGACAAGAGACAGTAGATTTCCAAGGCAAAACAAATTCTTCTAGGAAAACTATGAGAGCAACACGGTTTCCTGGAAGATATTTTCCAATGTAGATGCAATACAATACTGCCCAGGAAGTATCCAATGGCAAAAATAAAATAACTGGTCAAAAGCGGTTGGAAAGTTTAATGAAATTACAGATAGCAACAAAATACAATAAAATTATAATGTGAATTTCAGGAGGCTAGTTGTGCAGCGTTTCATACACAGATATTTGCTAGTTCAATTTGAATCAGCACAGACAAAGATTGACAATCTATTAAGCCTTTGAACTTAAAGTACAAAAACTTTAAAAACATTAGAAAGCCAGGTGAAATGCTGAGTTTAATGGCTTTGGTGATTAACTGACATGCTTTGTTTTTCTGTAATTGTTTGCTACCAGCAATAGCAGCGTGAACATTTGGCCTTTTTCCCAAGCAACTGAGAATGCAGCAACTCAAGTTCTTAAATTCACACGGAATATGAGGCTGTAACAAAAAGAGAAAATTGCGCTCCTAACGCAACTATTATTAATTGTTGGATGTTATCGATGGATAAAGAATGAAAAATGGGTGAAGGGAGAAGAATGAAAATTACGAGCGGCTGAGAAAACGAGGAAGAAAGGATGAGAAAAGTAGAAAGAAGGATAACGAAAGGTGGAATGAAGGAAGAGAAAAGGTGGAAGAAAGGATAAGAAGTTTGGTATGAAGAATGAGGAACGATGGATATGTGTGATATGAAGGATTCAGAAATAAAGAAAGAAAAAGATTGCTTCCTTATATAAAAACTAGTGTTCCAAATTAAAAGAATAACAACAAAGTTGAACAAACGAATATTATCGATGTGAGTTTTTTCTTTGTGTTTAGTCCTTTTAATGATACTGACATGATTGTATACCATCAAAGCACTGCTTCCTCGCGTCTAATTTAATTAAGGTAGAAAGTTCCCTATTCCATCGCCACCAAAAGCATGTTGCGCATGCTTCTTCCAAGGCCGAAACACGTGACGCGTAACGACGATTTAATTGGATAAATACGGGGGTCATCTTTGCGATAACGCATGAGGATAGAACATGTTCCCCGAGCCATGACTTATGTGACAGAGGCATGGAAAAAGTGAATCGTGGAAACTGGGCTTTAAATGATACGGTAAATTGTTCTTACAGTGAAAGTATCAAAAAAAGCTATTATCAGTACAATTATAGGTTGGTGTTTATTGAAATTTGCTAAAAGCATGGACTATAATCGCGGCTTGTTCGTTACCCGTACTTCTCGTTCTATTTATACTTAGCCGGTATTCTTATAAGTGCGCTCTTATTAATAACACTAAAATAAACTGCTTCTCTTGCTCAATACAGCAGCAAAATAACAACTTTTCTCACAAAACTACCGTAAGTTGTGCGTAAGTTGGCTGAGTTGCTCTAAAAATGGAACAACACTTACGTAGTGCATGTGGGCGTCAAAAGACAGAACCAACATGTTCGCGTCATGAAATCTATCTATACGCTTGTTCTGTTTTAGCGTCGCCATTTATCCAAAACAAATCGATTTGAACTTATTCTTTATGCCCTGTTTATGCCTAAAGAACATTCCCATATGGCAATTCGAAAAATCTTAGCCATTGCTTTTAAGCAGGGTTGTCCTCGAATAAAATTCCTGGGCTGGACGACAGGCTTGCAAGTTGGATAAGTACGTAAATTATCGGCAAATTTTGTAGTGAACAGTAAATGAATGATATGAAAAATTATCAGAAAAGTTACTCAGACTGTTGTAAGAAAATAATTATCAATAAGAAATGTTTCATGACACATTAAACAGGTAGTTTACATGCGAACAATGTTATGTAAATGTTGGTCTGTAAGCTTTGACTTGTTTAGCGTCATAATAGAAAATGTCTGCTTTTAGATAAAATCACCTTGCCTAATAATGATAGAGTATGACAAATAAAAAATTGCAATAATTTTGGTAGGAGGGGCCTGCGACCCGTATATTGGACATCCCTGCTTTTGATGGACTAGAACAACATTTGTAAGTTAAAAACACACGAAAAACGGGTTACTTAAATCAAATATATGCGGCAGCTATTGAGAAATGAATACTCATCAGCTGTACATTTGAAGGTTGAAGAAAACAGACTTACACACGAGGACGAAATCGAAGGGTCTGAGTTGCCGAGCGATGGATGATTCCGCATTCGAACCAGGTTTGTTGTCGACTCTTCAGCCTTAATTGGGGTGAATGAGCATTCAGGTTGTTCGATCTTCTCCAACTTGCCCTTGACGCTCGTAGGGGTGAACGTCGTTTTCGTTTCTTCAAAGTCAAACTGCAGGAGAAACAGCGCATATTAAACACTGAAGCTAAAACGGCATAGCAAATAAACGAGTTAAAAAACAGACTAACTTGGAAGAAGTATCACATACAAAACATGAGGGGCGAAAAGCAGTCAAGTAGACTGCTGATACACGATAAAGCTTTTATAGAAAACTGTTTGATACTAAAATATAAACCAATGTCAAACACATGTCTGTTGATATCGACTAATGACATACATATTGAACGTGCTAATGAAATTATTATTAAGTTTGGCAACGCCATTAAAACAATACAGACGCTGCTCTAGAAGGGCACAAAAAGGGCATAAGCGCAGAGCTGCATAGGAAGCTCTAAGAAAACAAGGCAGCAGGATCTAGATGACCGTAATGGACCTGGAGAAAGTTTAAATAAATAATTATCTGACACGACGAAGAATAGGAGTACTTCAAAAAAGCATACTCGCTACCATTACTAACTGACATGTTTAACGATATTCTGTAAATAAAAACCAGCTTTAAAAAATAATTGATTAGGTAATCGTCAAGATTTAAGGTTACTTAAAAACAATCATAGACTTTTTGACAACAAGGAAGACGAAATAGTGTTTGTACTGGCTGGAAAAACAAAAGGTATAAACAGTTGTTTAAGAGATATCATTGCATTCCTGGAAAAAATATATGAAATTTGCTTAATTTATAGCATATATGCGAGTCATATTTATAGCATAACAAAAACAGGGTATAAACTCTTAATCAATAAATGAATTTTATATTTTATCAAGGCTTAATTTCCTGCGATATCCTGTTATGAAAAGTAGTGGTGGATGCAATCAACGAGGAAGACAGCTTTCAACGTTTCCTCCTAGCGTTTCTGTAGCGAATTGGCTTCCAGTTAGAAAACAGACATCTAGATTAGCGAGAAAACAGACCTGTTCAAATGGACCTTTCACGGATTCGTGACCAGTCTTTAGGATTGAATCGGATAGCAAAGACGCCCTTCACCAGACATGACCAACTGATTCGATTCGAGCTTCAGTATCGTATTGTAACGAATGCAGCGACAAAAACTTACGCGAGTCTCCTTCAGCTAAATGAGCTGCAAATCAAGGCTGAACATAGACCTGCATGATAACATCCTGTGTCGACACACAAATCTGAATCCTGTATTTTGACAATGCCACGTGGGAAGAACGAATTTGCATATGCTTGATCTAATTGAGAATTCATGCGACAGTAATCCTTTATCGCAGCCGAAATTTTGTTGCATAATGACATAGCTTGCGTTAAAACCCAAAAACGTTAGAAAACTTCATATTTAGGGCAGGCGATCGCCGGTTTTGGCCTCAGAAAATTTATATATGAGAATTTTATGCGCGGGTTATTATATCATCTACATATAGAGAACATTGGCGTAGAAGTTACACAAGCTAAGCGATCTCATCTATTTTCGATGTAGTCGAACTTGCTTCTGTCAATTTCCCAGTCTTAATGACAATGCAATAAATTGCTTCCAATTGCTGTTTCAATAATCAAAATATTTCGAATGCAGCTGAAAATCTTTCGTCAAGAAAACGAAAACATGTCCTTAGAAAGAAAGATCTTTCGATGAAACAATCTTTTTATCAGGCCATTAAACCTAACAGGTGATATTTTGCAGAAGTCATGGGTGTAATAACATTGACCAGGGTAATGCGAAGTTGTTATTTTGCAAAGCTGGCGACGAGTAGAATAAACGAGGACAACGCACAGGACGAAAAAGTCAAAGATACAGGCGTTGAAACGCTCGATGCCCTAGACAACATGACAAAGCTCATGTCTCTTCCTTTATCGATAGGAGGATTATTGCTGTTAAAAACATATTTTCGGTCCTAACTTTTGGTACAACATAACAGATGACCGCCAACTGAAACAACATCCTCTTCTAGAACCGAACAACCCTAACACATTAATTGATGAGTTAGTTCCAAGAAGCGTTCATCTTTCCATGAAAACACGTCAAGCAAACGGGTTGAAGAAACCACTACCAAGAGCTACATATTAGGTTTAGAAAAAGTAAGAAAGTGAAAATAGTCCAATTCGATTGCCAGGCAATTCCAATTTTACGAAGCGCAAACATGATCTCTTGCTAGGGCCAATTTTTAACATGTTGGGCTTTGGATTTTAATTTTAAATCCAGCATTCGAGCAAAGATTGACTTGAAATTTCAGTTATCAAATGCTGATCTTTATTTTGTAAGCAGAAATCGTTTATCGTCACTTGCAGTTTCTACATTTTGCTTTTCTCTTGCAAATTGATGTCAATAATCAAGGCATCGCGATAGAAGCAACAAAAAGGAATAAAGTTCAGACGTAATTAATAACAAAAAAGGCTTAAGACGAGAGAACGTAACGAAAACCGAAAATCCTTAAAACAAGAAGTAAAAAAGAATTGATAAGCTGATTATCGGTGAATTCATTTTACAGTAAATCGCAAAAGAGAAAAACTTCTTTTTTTTCCAGGTCAATATTTCAATTTTGAAAAAAACAGATGAGAGATAATCGTTCTGCCTAGATTCTCAGCGACAATACAAAAGCAAACTCTGATGTGACCATACTGACAAAACCACAGATCAGTGAGTGCACTGTCTTAATAAACGCATGTTTAAAGGCAATCTGTCTCGTTGTGGATTGGTTAACGAGAACAATAGCTGGAACAATAGCCTAAACACAATTCTAGCGCTCCGCCATATTTTTTACAATGCGATAAATTAAAGGGGGACTGGAAACAATAAAAAATCCCTTTGTTCTTATAATCAATCAACGTCGTGACAGATTGCCTTTAAAACAAAGTTACAAAGTTACACGAATATTTCTACTTCAGTGTGTAGAAGATATAGAAAAGAAATTATAAACTGAAGACTTTGTTTTAACGATACACGACAAGAATCGTAGCTTAGAGCAATTTAAAAGCAGTATTGTCAAGCTTGCAAGTGTTTTACATTTCATTTACTAAAATTTACTGTCTATACTCTTGAAATAGTTAAGTCCATTTTCAAGGACGAATTCAGCCATTCCCCCGGATCAGCGTTGGAATACTATAAAACGAAGGGGGTACGATTTTTCTTGTGACAAGTATGATATTTGTCTAGATTTTAAACGATGCTCTTGGAGGAAAGGAACGGAAGTAGTAGTATCTGTGATAAAAATGAAAAGGATAGAAATAAAAAGCAAATTTTTCGGTGTTTTAAGAGCTTTTGGTAGACATTTACTCTTACTGTGTCTAGCAGACTTATGGCAGCATGAAAGTTGAAGCAGCATCAATGTATGATTATACAGTAGCACGGAGTAGTAAGAAAGTAAAATAGAAAGCATAATTTTTATAACATTTAAGAAATTCACCTGATTCAAGAAATAAAGTCAAGAATCACGTTTGTCTAAAGTGAAACATGAAAACCGATTCAATTGATTTTCTGATGTAGCAGATAGATAAATGATCTACTCTTGACGAATCTTCAAATATTTAAGCAAGCAGGCTGTTGAAAACAAATTGGACAGGTGCCGTCAATATTTCCTCTACTTCAATATTATGAAGGTTTAAATTTCAGGATTATGTAATAGAGAAATTTTGATTCAAAGCTCAAAGTCAAAGCCGAAATTTTATCACTTTCAATTACCAAATTAAGCTTGGGTAGAATTCGCTCGATCTTCTTTGCATATTTTTATCTCAAAAAACCAATAATGATCATAATAAAAAAATCCGTATTTTCTATTAAGAGGCTCTATTTATCCGCTTTTCATTTGCTATTGGTTGCAGTCTGCTTTCAAGTGTTAAAAAATTATCACTGTCGGAGCGAGGATTTCATGCACCCTGTCCAGGCAGCGAAGGTACGATAGACTGAAGCATGAAGATGTAAGGGTGTGGACTATAATTAAAAGCAAGATCTGGTTGCAGTATCCGAGCAGTGAACGATAACAAGATCCTATTATCAGGTTATATTTACAAATACTGAGAAAATATTTTTGATGATGGCTTACGAGTTCGTTTAAGTCTTGACACTTCCAAAAGTGTTTTAGCGCTTTTGCATTAAAATTCCTCGCAGAAATAGACCGTGAATGAGCCTGTTTCAAGCTTTGTTAATTGTGCTCTTTACTCAGTTGGTGATCTTTCCTTTGGAGGGTTGAGTTGAAGGAGAGAGAAAGAAATATTTCATTGCCTGACGATCGCTATAATCGTGTTAAGAATGAACCACGCAATAGCAACTTAGAACTTAGGACTGTACAGCATCTTTCACTTAGACAGACCGATAAACAGTAATCGTCATTCTATATATTTCTGTACATTGGTCACGGTTTTTTAAACGCTCCATTTGAACAAAAATTTGTCCAGCCAAGGTCTATTTCAGAACTTGCCAGTCAGGTCTACCTACCCATCAACAGATCAAAATGTGTTCTCTTGCTGAAGACATGATATCAACGTTAGGGAAAGTTTGTTGCTGGAGGAAGAATCGAAGAAATCTTTACGAAATAAGTAAATGTTAACGTAGCTAACACTATATTAAAGTTTTTTAATCAATGGAAACCCGTTACAGTCTTCTTTTAATAATGGATGAGTACGGTAACTCAAAAGCCTGCCAACAAAGTAAATTTGCAAAACATAAAAACCTTTAACACAACCTGTTTGCTTTCATGTACAATAGCTATTTTCAAGCTGATCAAATTTCGCAGACTGGGTTTTCTGATTTGAAAAGTTGTTCGAAAAAACCTATATCAAAGAAGTAAATTTTCTGTAAGTAGGTTGCTAGGAAACAAGCGATATCGATTACACTGCTAGTTATGCATTACGCTTATCACCGCTAAAAATAAAGTGACAACAGACATATTTTCTAAATCACAATGCTTCTCATTTAAGTCTGAAATCTAGCAAGAAATTTTAAACATTTTCTGACATTTATAGCAAACAGGCAGGAGAGAGACTGATCACTTTGATAAGCCTTATCACTTTTTAGCGCATTGGATATACAGGTATAAACCGATCGCATCCCTATCAAGAGATTACAAGAAACAAAATATTCTGCTTGATAGAAATACAGAGCTTATATTAAGCCAAGAAGGCGCTTTAAAAGCATATAAAAGTAGATACCATACATTACGTAGCTTGGCTTGAAATAAGCATCTTTGGATTATGAAATGTAGATGACGTGGATGTTATCAAATAAACAATTGCGTAATATCAACCGAAGCGGAAGCAACGTTGCTTTAAAAGCCGACACATGATGGAGATTGAAAGATTTTCACAGTGAGCCCTGTAGCACCTAATGAACGACAAACTACTTCAATGATAGCAAGCTAGAATTCTCTTTTAAATAACCTTTGCGTGATGAAACTATCGAGAATTATTCATGGGCCCTATACAATGAAATAGGCGTGCGATTATCTGCACGGTAACAGTAATCAAGTAAATTGGGCCTAAAAGCCAAGACGTGTTTACTAATGTGCGCTTCGTTTACCTAATCGGAAAGCCAATCAACTTACTATGGAAAGATATATACTCACGAAATCTGCAGACGAATACATACTGGGAAGAAAGTGCAGTAGCAATGAAACTTCGCCTGGCAGAGCCGCTTCCTTTTCGCAATATTCATCAAGGCTATTACTCAAAGAAGAAGAACTATGGTTGGCCGCAAGAGTAGAAAAACACAATCTCCAGTCTCTCCTCTTGCATTGATTTTCCACGCCGTAATAAATATTTGGCACATTTATTGCTTTAATATGCAATCCGGTCAAGTGTTATACTGGATTTTGCCGCAATAAATATGACAAAACCACCTGCATTGCAAGTATTGCAACAATAACAAGGCTTAAAATGCAACCAAACTCTTGCGAATGGAACCCGTCTTCTCACTTCAAGCCACACTATTATCACTGTAAGCAACTTCTACCTGCATAGATCTTAATTAGACTTCCTGTTAATTGATTAATCATTTTCAGATCTCCATTCTTTTCAAAATTGACCTCGGAAACAGCTCTGGACAAACAGTTAAAAGATGGAAGTAAATTGTACCAGGAAAAGTTTTTTTTAAATAAATAACGACGTTTCGAGAATAGACCGTTGTCAAGTGTTAGCCCGTAATGCTCGAAACGTCGTTATTTATTTAAAAAAAAAATTTTCCTGGTACAATTTACTTACATTGATCGTTATTATAGCATTATATTGTACCGCACGCATTTTAGTATATTTTAGCCAACCAACATCGCTTAATTCGCACAAGCGAAATGTGACTTATTGACAAGTGGACTTTCTCGTCCAATTTGAAGCTCTAGGTTTTTCTAGCTGTTACTACCTTAAAACTACTACCTAGCTTCTGAAGGTAGTTTTAGGGCAACCGGGAAACAATGTCTTGTTAGAAAACATGAAGACTCTGCGGAGGACACATTGTAAATAATGAGTATTGTTTAGTTTATTTCCGTGATGTATATAAAGGGATTTATTCGAGGTTGGGCGACTTTCGTTGATGGGACTTTTGATTGATAGGACTTGGATTGTTGGATTGCTTGAAGGGAGATGTTTTGTTGATCGATTGGAACACGAACGCGAGTATTGAATAAAAGTTGATTATGTTTCGAGATTATATGGATATTGTTTAGTAATCGGTTATGTTGGAATCTAGATTGAAGATTCATTGTTTACAAATACCACTGATTGAGAGAACCTTGGAATTATAACCAGTTTGTTTTCCTCTTGTTGATCTTGAACTGAATTTATCGTACGGGAACATTGCTCGGTTTAATTATTCCGGCAGAAATTGTTTATTTGGCAATGTTATCCATCATTTTATGGTGCCGTGACCCGGGAACAGACTGGTGGTGATCGGATTTCGGTTATTTTTGTGGAATATATGTATATTTGGATTGCGAGTTGCAGTTAAAGTATGGAATCGAACGTTACATGATGACTGATATTAAGAAGTTGATACAGACTCGGAACGGTCATAAACTAGCCGTTAAAAAGGCTTTTAACACTGCAAACGAAATTTTTGAGAAATATCGCGAGAATTTATCGGAAATATCTATCGTTGATAGATCCAAGTTACAATCGCTGAAACGTTCACTGGACAGGCAGTCTAACGAGCTTGATAATTTGAACAGGCAAATCAAAACTGCATTATCAGCGGAAAATATTGAAAGGGAAATTGTTGAGCGAAGCGAATTTGATTAATTTTTGCACGAGGCCATTTGCTTGACTGAGATATGTTTAGAATACAAGGCCAATTCATCAGAGGCTGCGTCAGATTCTTCTTGCTGCTCTCGAAACACTGGTAATGGAAATAAGAAAAAGATAAACTTGCCAAAGTTGCAGCTGCCAACTTTTAATGGAAACCCCCTCGAATGGGTTACTTTTTGGGACAGCTTCCAGTCTGCTATAGGACTGGACGATGAGCTCAACGATGTTGACAAATTTAAGTACCTAAGATAATATTTGGGAGGTGCAGCGTATACGGCGATCGAAGGATTACCTATCTCAAATGGCAATTATAAGGAGGTCGTGGATATATTACAAAAGCGATTTGGTTCCAAGCAAGTCATTATATCGAACTTCATGAACACAATCATGTTGCCGATCGTGAGTTCCTTCGAAGACTTGAAAATTTTGCGATCCTTATATGATAAAACAGAAACAGTGGTAAGGGGTCTCAGAAACATCGGAACAGAGCCCTCCAGTTATGGAACTTTCAGGGACGAAAACAAGTTGCTAATTTTGGGGGGGCGTGGAAGTATGAAAATTCCAACTTCAAGTGATAAATTTTTCATTCGACCAGTAGATCTGTTGTACCTACCAAATTGATATTTGTAAATAGCCCGAGCACCATAGTTCTATTTTCTTTATAATTACCAAATCTTTACTCAATAATTAGCCTAAAGCATAAAAGCCTAAATCTCTAAATTTTGATTAACATGAAACAAACATTAAACATACTGTAAGAAGTAAAGCAACATTTAAGCAAAACCAGTATTAGATATACTTAATGATTAGTAGTATTCTTTCAGATCAATTGATCAATTTTATCTAAAATACATTTTTTCACGATATAGAAGCACCAAGAATTTGGGCCTTTTATTTTCGTTCTTGATCGAAGAAAACTACCTTTAAACTTTTCAGAGGGCCAAATGCCTTTTCATTCTTTACAACTGAAATGATTATTTGAGAACAAACTTGTGCATATGCCTGATTCGAAAGATGAAATACTCTTCTTTGATCAAATACTTCTACTGCAGTTTTTGCAATGTGTTCTTGCTCCACAGCAGTTTTGTCATAGGAATTTATGATAAGGACTCAAGGACATTAACAAATAACAGGGGGAGTTTAGCATAAACTCGTTTTTTATAAGAAGCGTTGAGAATTTTTAGTACTGAAAGATTCTTAATCTTTTATTGAATTAACTACTCGTAGTTTCTAAAAAAATTCCCACTCTAATATTTTCTGATCAATGCGGGTAATATTATTCAAAACTGTAAGTTTCAGGTTTCTTATCCGTAAGTTCACCTTGCCTGTTCGTAATTTGATTCAACTCCCGTCAGAAAGAAAGAAAAAGAAAACGGGGCAAGTGTGCAATTTGGACCCAGCGGAGACGGGATTCACAATAGAAAACGATTGGATGGGTCAGCTTCAGCCTGTGAATTTTAATGTTTAGAATTTTTATAAATTAAAATAAAAAAACTTCTTAAAATATAAAATTCACAAGTTTGGTCTTAAGAAAAAAATTCCAAGTCAACCGTTACGTTTTCCAACTGTAACTGGATTTTCCAAACTTTGGGGGGGGCGTTACGCCCCCCACGCCCCCCTATTATTTACGAACTTTTATCACGCCAGTATTGATGGCAAGATTCCAGAGGAATTACGAGTTACCATAAGCCCCAATCTATCGGACGACGAAGGAAGTTGGGACTTGGAGGAAGTTTTGGATCTTTTCGGAAAGGAGGTGCAATTGCGCGAAAAATATGTTGTTTCGAATGAGAGCAGAGGAGTTTCTATTAGCAGTTCATGGAGAAAACCAAACGCAAGGGAGTTTATGAGCAGCAGACAGCACCAACCATCGACCGTGAGTGCCTTATACGCGAATCAAGGAGGTTTGAAGTGATTCTTTTGCGATGGATCGCATGTTGCTAGTAAGTGCACTTCTATAACTAATCCTCAAACTAAAATGAACATTCTAAGAGAAAAGGGCAGATGCTTTTTGTGTTTTAAAACTGGACACGTAGCTTCCCTTTGCCCTACAGGGAAAAGGTGTTTCAATTGTAATCGGAAGCACCACATTGCCTTATGTAATGCCAATGCCTTACATAGAAATTCAAGTAATAACAGGGTACAGAGTTCGGCCGTAAATGTAGCTGTTGACCGTGACTTATCAGTGTTTTTGCAGACAGCAAAGGCAACAGTTTTGAATGCTTGTAACGATAACTTGTCTGCAAATGTAAGGGTTCTATTTGATAGTGGTTCATCAAAAACATTCGTGAGTTCACGTCTCTGTAATTATCTGAAGCTGCCGATTATAGGCAAAGAAAAACAGTTGATAAAGGTTTTTGGCGAATCAGAACCTAAATTTCGTGAATGCGACGTAGTACAATTAACTGTGGTTTGCAGTGACGGATTGAAAATTTACATGAAAGCGTATTCTATTCCGTAAATTTGCAGTCCATTAAATAATCAGTGTATTGATGTTGCAATTGAACAGTATCCGTATTTGCAAGGTTTGCCTCTTGCTGATTATATTACATGTCTAAAGAGCAGCGCCCTTGTCCTTCCTCTTGATGTAAAATTCAATCAGATCGACATTCCTCAATCTAAAGGCCGGTTTCCACTTGATTCGCTCTGGTCGCGCGACTTGGCGAAATCGAATCAACAAGTCAGCGAATCGGCGAACGCGACCAGTCGCCCAGTAGTTCAACTGAGTTGAACTACTCAGCGAATGGTCACGCATTCGCAGCGAATGAGGAAGTTCAATTTGCGCATGCCCCAATGTGCATTCGCTCAGTCGCGCGACCAGAGCGAATAAAGTGGAAACCCGCCTTAAGTATTATTTTCGTTATGTCAGAAACTCGAACACCAGACTCTAAGATCTACATTCCGTGACTCTAACCAACAAGCCATCCTCGTACTTAATAAATAATAATGTCTGTGTGGTAAAATAAATAAATAAATAAATAAATAAATGAATGAATAACAAATGCCAATATATAAAGGAATCTCAACTATACAAATAAACTCAAGCGATAACCACTTGTTTGAGAAAAGCATCCTAGCACATCATCTCTTGGCCGATAGGTTAAAAATGTTGATTCAATAGCAAGCCCGTTGTGATTAAGATTGAACGTGTAAAAGGCAAGTCTGTAGCAGTGGTTGAAAACATCCTCTCTTGAATTACTTTTGAAGTACTGCACACTTTATTGGTATAAATATATGCAAGGAGTTAAGAATTGATTAATGAATGAACAAGCTATGATGTGGATGGTATTGGCTGTAAAGGAAGACCCAAAAAACCCCCCCAACAGCCGAATGATGACTTCTTAAGAGACTAGATGTTTGACAGACTTAACTAGCAAAGGTCAATCGAGAAGGCTTTGGTGCAAAGAAATGGCTGTTGAACAAATGATTAAAAAGATGATTTATTGATGAAAAAATGAAGAATTGACATTGAATACATTATGACCTTCCTCTTGCTTTTCAATATAAAAACCACTGACATCATACTTCGAACAGAACAAAAGCAACAGCATTGCCTTGCCTTGAGTTCACTGTACCTGCATGTAATTGCAATGGAAACAGGGGCGATCAACCTGTAAACATTGCCTACATACTTCTTAGCAGATTAAGCAACAGTGAAAGCTGTTGAACTTAAAAGTCTAATTTTTGCAAAAGCAAATAACAGTACACATACAAACCTTAAAAAAACTTTTGTTTTTTAAGATGGCACATGTTAAAAAAGGTATTTGGTGTAACAGCGACACATTTTGGTAATTAAGCTGAAGCTGACAGAAGTTGAATCAATGAAATGAAAGTTAAAAGTGTCTAGCAATCAAATAGCTTGGCAGCAACAACAAAGCCTTGGCAAAAAACTTTGCATTGGACAGCACCCAACATCCTGGATTAATTTACCAAACCACAAAAACTTTGCTCCATTCTGCTGAGTGCTGTTCAGCGCTTGCTGAATGATGCTTAGTGCTCCATAGATCTCTGAAAAAATTCTCTTGTTCTGGGTGAAATAAAGATTTGCTCAGTCAAATTTTTCTATCTGTTCAGACACTTGCCACTAAGCAACGCAAAGCAGAACTGAGCAAAAAGGCTAAACATACTGAATGCTACTCAGTGAAATGTTCAATTTGTGGCACAAAAAGCACATTCGCTCAAAATTACCATCAATAGTTGTTTCAAAATATTTGAAACCATGTTGATACCTATCCCACTAAAAGACATTATCACCAAAGCTGATTTCTAACAATAATATTGTAAAAAGGACAAGAC